TTAGGAGATATGGACTTCTGGGCCCATGTGCTTCGTCGTGGATCTAATGTCAAATCAAGGGTCGAGATCAGGTGGGGTTTCGGATTGGACTGTGCGAGGATCGAGGGGAGTAGAGTTAGGGATCTCGACCTTTTGGTCGAGAACACCTCGGCGCCGAGCACTGCTCGACGCTGACCACGGGTCGATCCAGGATGGCCCGAGCCGATGGTCTTCGATGATTCTCCTTCTGTCGCTTCATCTGTTCTATAGTTCTCGTCCCATAACAGTAGCCTCCACTCTCAAAATAGAAGCCAATAAGCATAAGTAAAATGTTAAGACTTCTATATTGAGAGTACTTGTCGCTCAGTCGTTCCATGGGTGACTGTTTTTGTAGAATAGCCCTCATACCCTTTCGTCGTGGTTGGCTATCGTTTCATGGGTCGACCCTCTTAGCCCCTATACCCTTTTGTCGTAGTTGTCCATAGTCAAGTCTTTTGGACTTTACCGTATAGTTAATTTTAACTGTTTAGGTTTTTGTCTTGGGATCTAACTTTTAGTTGCGCTAGCTGTACCACCATTGAGTTTCTAACCCGTTTGGATTTTGCCCATGGTTTTATACTCAAGGGTTTACTCTTGGGTTTCCAACCTCTTTGGCTTTTGTGAATGGTTTTATATCCTGAGTCCAGTCGATATCCTTTTGTTGTTGTCGGTTTATCGTTTCATGGGTTGGCCTTCTTAGCCTCCATACCTTTTTGTCGTAATCGGATGTGATCAAGTCTCTTGGGCTTTGCTATACAGTTAATTTTAACTGTTTAGGTTTTTTTTTTGTTGGCCTTGGGGTATAACTTTTTAGCTGGGCCAGCGGTACCACCTTTGGGTTTCTAACTTATCTGGCTTTTGCCTATGGTTTTGTACCCCAGGTTTACTCTCGGGTTTCTAACCTATTTGGTTTTTGCCAATTGTTTTGTACCTTGAGTTTCATCAATACCCTTGGATTTCTAACCTATTTTGACTTTTGTCAAATGATTTTATACCTTGAGTTTCGTTGATTGGTTTGACACGTCTGCTTTCTGTTTTAATATTGTGGGCCTGTACGCAACCCTTTCAGCACCTTTGGGATTCTCTTCCCCGGTTTCACTGATTGACTTTTTAGCTTATCGGTCTGCTTCTAAGTCTATCCCAGTTCGAGTTCCTTGACCAACTGTTGATTAGCTTATCCATGCCCCCACTTGAGGAGTTTTTGTTTAGAACCAAAATAAATGCTCAAGTAGTAAAAGCTAATTAAATCCCAGATGCTAGAATTGATCGTTTTTGGAAACATAAAATCATACGTAATATGAAACAAACGACATATACTACATAATACGTAAGCAATAAAAACCTATTCAATCATTAAAAAGGACACGATCTTGTGGTTTCTCAAGATGACGTAGTAGTATCCCCGCAATACTCGTTGTTCTCTCCTGACTCTTGTTCGAGCGGGACTATCGTTGGGGCATATCTTTTTTTAGGATCTCGTTGATTTGATTGGTCTTGAGTTTTGTTGAGATCCAATTTTGAATGAAGTAGCTCTTTTGCACCCATATATTTTTTGTCGGGTTCGAGTCAATGCTTCTGAGAAAGTTGTTGGGTTCGATCTTGCTTCGTTGCCACTTTTACCTCATAACACTTGCCCCTACTCTCGAAGTGATGTATTTCTATTTTTTTATCTATCACTTTGAACCTCGGGTTTGGATCTAATGTACCCGTGAAGGACGAGTCACATTTGTCATTTCTTGATCAAGACCCACGATCAAGGTGGCCTCTTCCTCGGCTGTCGAGCCGAGCCATGTTAAAATCAATAGCGACGTTAGGTTGAGTATGACATTGAATACCAAAAGCCAACTACGAAACTGACCGGGTAGAGATCACTAAGACAGGTATGGATGCTCTGTTGGGGGTTTGAGTAACCAAAACTCGACTCGCTTGATGACTCTCCTAGCCCTTGCCAAAGGCTGAAAGCTCTCTCTAAGTAGGCCGCCCCGTTGGCATCAGCATCATACGGACCCGAAAAAGGGAAAGCCGACACATGGGAGGAAGACTTAAGATGGCCGCGAGAGGAAGATGAGGTAGATGTCCCTTAAAGTCGAGCAGAGCGACGAGGCGTAGTAGGGGGCATCGAGGGTTGAACTTGGTCTCGAGAGAGGGGATCATCCTCCGTCAAATCAGTGATGTCGACATCAGAGGCTCGACTAGATCCAGCACCGGAGCTCCGAGTGTTTCGACGACGTTCTCTTTCGAATAAGGAAGTGGCCCATCTTGACATTCCTACAAAGGAAGTACGAAATAAAAATCGGCTAAATGTAGATTTAAAGGAAACTCCTGATGGTTACCTGAAAGTGGAAGAGGAGGAGCCAGGCTAAAATCTATCAAGTTCTACTCGTTTACCAAGTCTGGTCCCCACCACTCGACGTCGGGTAACTGAAGGACAGTGTGATAGAAGTTCAATGCCTCTGTGGGAAGTTCACAGGTACGGGAATCTGTCAACAAAAGAAACAAAAAGATGAGGTTTAGAATATGATATAGGAAAGTCCCGATAAGAGTTCGGGAAGCTACTTACCTAACTCCCTACACTCCATCGGGACAGGAAAATGCAATCCACGGTCGTCCCGGGCAAGTCAGTCACCACCGGCAAGGAACCACTCATCCTTCTAGTGCTTTACCGAGGAAGGACCCGAAATAAGAATTTGGTTTCATGAGCTAACGTAAAAATGGAAGTTGTCGTTGGGGCTATGCTTAAGGAAATAAAGTGACATGAAGATGGCCGCGGTTAAGGGTTGGTCACCCCCAAGATAGGACCACAAGATGAAACAACTGATCAATGTAGACTACCCATTAGGGACGATCTGGGAAAGAGCTACTTGGTTAAAAGCTAAGCAGTTTTGAAAAAACAGTGGCAATGGTAGGCGAACTCTAAATTTGAACATGGCCGCATAGAACACGACTTCCCCGGGATAGGATCCATTAATACTCTCCTCGGGGTTTGGGAGGCGAAGTTTGACCGAATCGAGAATGCAGTATTTTGAGCAGAGACGGCATAAGCCTCTCATTGAAAACGTAGAGTTGTCCACCCAGGAAGGACGAAAGGATCAGGACTCAGAAGACGGGCGGGATGACGACTTGTCGTCGGAGGTAGTCCACTCAAAGGTTAGATCACTACCAGATGCCATGGAAATAAGCAGGTAACAAAAGAGCAAGAAAGGAAGGATGATTACCTCGAAGTGAAAGGGGTGAGTGAAATGTGAAGGAGGTAGAACGGGTTTATATAGCCTCAGAAAGCATGAGAGCATGACTCAGACCAATGGTCATAAACCACTAGGCCGAAGCCTGCTCGGCCACCATGAAACCTGAGCCAGCCTCGGTCACGGGTCCTGCTGCGAGGTGACTACACCTCCACGTGAACCAGTGTAGGACATGACAACACTTCCACGAGAATGGATGATGTGATCATACCTACACGAGAACCAACAAAGTGGGGCGAGACAGTCAAGGTGACAACTCGATCACAAATTCCAACATGGCTCAGCTTGGCAGTCGAGGAAGAGGCCACCTCGGTCAGGGGTCTTGATAAAGAAATGACGGATCTGACTCGTCCTTCACGGGTCCATTAGATGCAAACCCGAGGTTGACAGCTACAACACTTCCTGTGACCCGCCAGTAAGTGTACTCTCAAAGTGATAGATAAAAAAGTGGAAATACATCATTTCGAGAGTAGGGGCAATTGTTATGAGGTAAAAGTGGCAATGAAGCAAGATCGAATCGGGTGAGTCAACCCACAAGGAGTGGATCGAACCGAGCAGGGCTTGGTTCCTACCCTGCTTGATGTTGAGCCCCGTCCTTGTTCTTCTGCTGTTGTTCCAAGACCTAGGGTTGCAACGTCCCGGCCCGTAAGCCCACAAGTATCAAGACCTAGGGTTAGCACGTTGTGAAACCCCAGGGGGTTAATCGACTATAAATAGGGAGGGGATCACCCCTTGAAGGTAAGCCAAAATGCCACTTTCAAGTGCCTTACTTGTTTAGTGATTTCTCTCATAGCTAACTTAAGCATCGGAGTGTGACAAAAATCACATCGGGTTAGGGTTGTTCGGTTTTGCAGAATCCAAGCATCAACAATTGGCGAATCCTACCCCAGGGACGTCATCCTGCCCATCTTCTGCGGTCGTGTATTTCCCTCATTCGTCTAAGTATCTTTAACATCGACTTTGATCCTTTATCCTTAATAAGATTAACCAGTTTTCTTGCAAGAGTTCGAGTTCCTTTTTATATTGTTATGAAATTATTATTGAGACCCCTTCTGAATCTAGGTGGGTTTATAAGGGTGCGTTTGGTTGGTGGTCAAAAAACAAGGGTTTCAAATGAAAAACGAGTTTTATTATTAGTTTTTAGTGTTTTCAAACATGTGTTTGGTAGCAGATTTGAAAATTCTCAATTTAAAAAATTGTTCAACGTGTGTTTAGCAATGTATTTGTAAACTAACCGTAGTTACCAACTAAAGATTTAATTTAAATTTTGTATAGTTATTATTTTATGATGTTGTATAATTTATAATATATTATATTTTACCTATCTTAGTTTTAACAAAAATGAAATGAGTTTATAACATGAAATAATATATTTATAATCATGTAATTTTGTATTTTAAAATTTAAATTTGGAAAATACTTAAAATATAAAAATATTTTTTTCATAAATTTTTACTATTTGGATCCCATAATTCAAAAATAGTTTTAAAAAATAAATCTGTCAATCCAAATCTATTTGATTTACTAAAAACAAGAAACGGATTGTCCACCAAACTCTAAATTAATATAAGTGGATGGTGGCCCCGTTTATATGCATGCTTAATGTAATAAATTCTAAAATTACAAGTTTGGTGTGTCTATCAAGTTATTTTTAATTTTTTTTTTTAAAATAGATCTTTGAACTTTTAAAGTTGTGTCTATTTAATCCTTGAAATTTTTGTGTCTAATAAGGGCTCGTTTGATAATATTCTCGTTTCTTGTTTCTCGTTCCCAATTGGGACCGAGTTAAGTAAAGACGGGCTACCTAGTGATTTACAACCACCCTGCGATTTCAAAATAGAAAAATGGTAATCATTGAGATTTGTTTGARAGGGGAAAAAAGAGAGAGTTCCAAACCTAAATAAACATCCAAATTGCCCATGAATCTCAATGACCAAGAATTGAAAATTGACGCGGGAAGGAACTATGGAATTGGTAATGATTCTGCTGCTATTCATCAAACGAAGCAACATCTTGGCAAGTTGTTTTATATGAAAGATCTTGGTCCTCTAACTGGGATTGAAGTTTTTGGTCTCCGGGTATGCATCTAACTCAACAGAAGTACGCCATGGATCTTCTAAGTCGCCATGGAATGCTTCACAGATTGCCCTGTGTGACTCCAGCTTAATGCCAAGCTGTATTCTCATGATGGTGAACTGCTATCAGATCTATCGGCTTATAAGAGTATGTATGGTGGGTGGTCTCCAGTACTTTACTCTGACTCGCCCAGTCGTTTGCTATTGGATTGGACTTGTAGACAAGTTTATACAGTCTCCTCGGGTTTCTCATTTAGTAGCTGATAAACGTATTTTGAGATATCTAAAAGCTTAAAAAATCTAAGTATTTTTCAACTAACGTTGATTCTTGTTTCTCCTTTTTTGAGAATACTCTCACAATTGTATTGAAATTTTGGAAACAGCCAAAACTAGTTTCTCCTTTCTTGTTCCTATTTCCAATTTGTTCTAAAACATAAATAAAAATATTGTTTTATCATACTTGAATTCTTAGAGATTGGAACCATGCAATACATTTTTCTTCATTAAAAATAAAGAAATAGAAACAAGAAACAGGAACGAACGAATCCTAAATGTTCGTCATTTGCTTGATTAGTTTACTCCTTTTCACTAAAAAAAAAACTAAAAATTAACCATTACCATGAAAATATATTATTTTAAAATTACGTGGTAGGTCAATTTTGGCCATGTTTGAATTCTTAGAGATTGGAACCATGCAATACATTTTTCTTCATTAAAAATAAAGAAATAGAAACAAGAAACAGGAACGAATGTTCGTCATTTGCTTGATTAGTTTACTCCTTTTCACTAAAAAAAACTAAAAATTAACCATTACCATGAAAATATATTATTTTAAAATTACGTGGTAGGTCAATTTTGGCCATGTTTAGGTGTTTATGATAGGAATGCTGTTGGAAATATTATGAGGGTATTTTAGTAATTGTGTTAGGAGGTGTTGTTATAAATAGAGTTCAAAGAGAAAGGATGAAGTAGACAATTAGTGAGCATGGTTTAGGGTTTAGGCTTAGTAAGAACACTCACAAGAGAGGGAGGATCCAAGTACCTCGAATTACTTGGAAGTTATTCTAGTTCTTATATCTTTTATATTTCAATATATTTCTAGTTCGGTTCCATCGTTTAATAGTGCGAACTTAAATAAACAAAGGTAACAACAAAATTTAAATATTAATGACCTATTAGAATTTTTTTACATAATTCAAAGACCAAATAGACACGTCTTAAAATTTCAAAGATCTATTGAAAATCTTTTTAAGTATGAAGCATTAATAGCCACAACTATGAAAGTTCATGAACCAAACGGAATACATAGAGATTTGTTTGTTCTCTAATTTATATGTTTTATGCAAAATCACAAGCAGTGCTAAAACTACCAACTGGGGAGAGCAGGCCTTTGCCATTCATTTTGACATTAATTCCACCCCTTATACTGTCATTGCTTGACCCAGAAATATTTTTCAAAGCACTGGACTTGGCTGGCACATATGGAGGTAAATCATTAACAATCTATTCTCGTAATTTTATTTTGGTTAAAATACTATTTTGGTCTCTGTTCTTTGTGCTTTGGTTCATTTTGGTTTCTGCGGAACTTTAAAAATGTTCATTTTGATCTTTATATTTCGAACTTTGGTTCATTTTAGCTCACTGTACTTTCAAAATGTTTGTTTTGGTCCCTATACTTTTACAAAGTGATCGTTTTTGTCCTTTAATTTTATTTATAATCTCATTTTTGCTATCTTAATTTCACCACGACACTACACTTAATGTATTTATTGAAATGTAACCATAATTTTATATTAAAATGTTTTCGTTATGTACAGAATTTGTTTTAAAATTTTTCAAATACGGACTAAAATGGTCACTTTTTAAAAGTATAGAACAAAAATGAACATTTTGAAAGTATAGAAACTAAAATGAACCAAAATTGAAAGTACAATGACTAAACTGAGATTTTGAAAGTACACGAATCAAAGCTCGAAGTGTAGCACCAAAATAGTATTTTAGCCTTTTATTTTTCTACCTCAACCTAAAGAAACCAAGTTTGTTTCCTGATTAATTGTTTTCCGTTATAGTGTTGCTGCTGTTTGGAATTATTCCAGCTGCAATGTCGTGGTCGGATCGGTATTCGGGTTCACCCCCGTCCGTGAAACTACCGGAGGTGGTTCCCGGAGGAAGGTTTACTCTTTCCCTCGTGATCGGAGGTGCTGGATGGGTAATTTTCTCAGAACTATTGAACAACCTTGGGCATCTATGAACCATAGGGAAATAAATGTGTGGGTAAATATACAAGAAGGTCCCTATTCTTTGGTATAATTTTCAATTTAGTTCTTAATCTTTTAAAATTCTCAATTAGGTCGTTCTATAAAAAAGAATTGTAAAATTTTGTTAACAAAAAGTTAATATTTATGTTAACTTACTGTTTTAAAAACAACTTTTGACACATGAACATGTCACTTAGATGCTATACATAACACATGAAATTTAAACCATTCATTAGCAAAACTCGACCTACCAATCAATAAAATCAATTTCTTCAAGTGGCATGTTTCCGTGTCTAAATATGTAATTAAAACAATAATCTAATGATACATTCTTTGCTAATAAATTTTAACATTGTTTTAACATAGGACAAACCAGACATTTTTAATACGTTAAGGGTAAGAGTGATAATTCTAAAAAATTTAAAATTAAATTAAGGATTACTTCTTCTTTTTTTAATACAACATGTGGGAGTGGGATATCGAACTCACAAACTGTAGAGCAAGAAAGTTAGCAAGCTAGCAGTTTTTTTTTTATACTAAATGTAAATTCATTACTTTCTTAGAAAGATATATAATACCATAAATACGAGAGAAGAGTTCCAGATCTATACTAAATGTAAATTTATTACTTTCTTGGAAAGATGTATAATACCATAAATACAAGAAAAGAGTTTCAAATCTATACGATTTTTAGAGGGATAGAGAGCTTTAATCACTTAAGTACGTTAGGTTGTTTCTAAAACTTCTAAAAAAGAATTGTGAATGCTTTTTAAAATGTGAAAAACAAAAAGTATAAAGGGGTTTTATAATGGGTAGCATATAAATTTTCTATATTTAACAAAATAACATGTCTTTTTGATATTTTCAGATATAGCAGTTTTTTGAAAATCCTGATTTTAAAATTTTCAGTATTTCCAAATTACTCTCTTCACTTATCGTTTCGTTATTATATATTAAACATATATCACATATATATCAGGAGTATATCCGACAACATTAGTATATCAGAAGTAAATCAATAGTATATCAAAAGTCAATCAGTTCTATATCAGTTGTATAATGGTAAATCACTATTTTACCTGCTTTAACCCTTTGTCTTGTATTTTTTTGATCAATTATAAATTAGTAGGTATTGGCATGCATGGAAAATGAGAAAAAAAAATTTGATACTTACTGAAAATGAGAAAGAAAACTTGAGAGGAACGTGAATGTGAACGTCAATGGTGATTTTCGAAATTACTGTGAATGAGAAATCAATTAGAAATTAGAGGTAAATAGAAACTTAGAGTTTTTCTGTATATCAATAATATATCAGTGATATATCAAGTATACATTGTACATATATCAATAGTACAATTAAGTTTTATTTAAAGTTTTAAAGATAAAAATAAAAGCAGCAACAATGTCATTCTTAAAAGGTTTAAATATCATTCTTGGGTATCAACATCAACGTCAAATCAGCAGCAAACTCCTTCAACCAAAAACTTAAAAGTTTAAACATCAAAACGAACCAGTAGCATAAACCAAAAGTAGACTAACAATGTCATTTTTAAAATTCTATAAAAGAAGAAGCATAAGTTCCAGAAGCATAAGTTCCAACAGTCTAGAAAAATGTAAGTTTCATTCTTGTATAATCTTTAGGTAAAAGCTTGGGACATCAATCTTCGTTCTTGGTGATTGTCGTGTTTTCGGAGATACTATCTTTGAAGCTTTCCGTTTTTCCATAGACAACACTTTTGACGTTGGTTTATGTTGTCTTTTGGGACGAGCCACATCAACATTTTCGACGATGTTTTTTTTWTWTYWYWTTTYKYGTKTKTWT